AAGAATCTCTCCGCTGGATCTTTTCCAAACTACACGGCCCTGTTATGTCACAAGTGTTCTTAAGCATTATTTTTCCATCAGTTTGGAAGGGGCCATTGGGGCTTATCAAGTCCATATGGCTCAATGCAAGGAATTGAAATGGAAGCACCTCAGAGCGAAGGGTCTTCCAGCTTTACCCAGATGCCAGCAGGGAAGAGGAACTCAATGCCGGATGACATATTAAGTAAACCACAACTTCCTGGGTTCACACGCTAAACCACGAACAGAAAATATTTGGCGTGAGAATCCGAGTGAGAATTCACAAGCGGGAAGAAGGGACTGTGTGCATTCATGCAAACCACCATTGCATTTTATTCCTCTATTCCATGCAGGTTGTGTGACATGTAAAAAAACCCAATCAGTGGAAAGGCTTGCCTTCAGAAGTTGTGGGTGCTCTTATCAGTGTTTTTTTAGAAGAGATCGTACAACCATTGGTTTGAAACGGTATAAGCTGGTCTCCAGCATGAACAGGGGGTTGGATTAGGAGATCTCTAACGTCCCTTCCAATTCTGTTATTGTTATTCAAAATTTGTTTGGGATTAGATTGCTTGGCATCAGAGGTTTCCAGGGGAGCGTCAGTAAAAAAACCAAAACGCCAAAATGGCAGCCCTGAGCATGTGATCAAAGCCCCGCCCCTTAATGTTATGACACATGCAAAAAAGGGCGGAGCTGTGATCACGATTGCAGCTGTCCTCTTGACTTTTGTTGTCTTTTGTTGACATTCTGCATAGTAGACAGGATGTTTTCCCAACAGGAAAAGGAAGGAAGGAAGAAGCGCTTTGACGGCTAGCAATAATTGAGTGGATTCTGCTAGAGCGGAAGAGAAAAAGATTAAAGCCTTTGAGTTTTCGTTCCTTTCTTGTCTGCCCAAAGGTTTTTTTTTTGACCATCAGTGAGTTTTATGCACTAAAGTGCTTATTTAACTTCTCATAGTTGTAGATGACCAGACTGAGCCCAAGGGAGGGATCAAACACGTCGTCATGTCATGAGATTTAACTCCAGCACACCTTGAATTCCTTTCTAATAACTCCTGCTGATTTCCTTTGAATGTTAGTAGTTCAGATTCTTGTAGAGAGCTCAAGCTTACAATTAATCCTTATATGTCGCGTTGAGCGACCGGTCTGTTGTTTCGATCTTCTGGTTGATTGCTGAATTCCTCTCAGAACGGGACCCTCGCAAGAGTGAGATACAGAGAAGCCCTCGCAAGGGCGAAGTCTGGCAAAAGCAGGACCCTATCCAGGGTGAGTTTGAGCCAGCAGATGGCAGCGGAACCCTAGCCAGGGTGATTGCGGGACTCTCGCAAGAGTGATTGCAAAGCGGAAAGAAAAAAGAACACAAGACGAAGATTTCTTTAGGTGAGGCAGCGCATTGCCTGGGGCAGATGGAATTGTCCCGGCTGAGCCTGAGACAGATGGATTGTTCAGGCTGCCAGCTTGCTCTGCGCTGTCCTCTTTTATTGTACTGAATAAAAGAGGGAGGGTGAGGGGGATTGCAGAAAGACAAAGAAGTTACAAACTTTATCTTTGAGACCAGGCTACGTGATACAAGTAACGAACTTTGTGACTGATAAACATGTTTTACCGAATACACATCTTTTATCCGACAGACTTTTGTGAAGTTAATCTTATCAACTTCAGCTTCTTCCTGTCAGTTCTTTTCCTGTCAGCTTAGTGAACTTTGCTCTGTGCTAAGCAAGATTTTGTTTCATGGAAATTTACCAAGACAGAATAGCCACACTTATACACATTTGAACTGTCTGGATCTCCTGATTTTCCTAGAGCTTGACAATAAGTTTCTGCCCTATCTGCCAATGTATGTAGTCATGTCAGACTCACAAGGTATCTTCAAATAGATCCTGCTGCATTGAATACATCTTTGTGATATTCGTAGGATAGATAGAATACTTTATTGGCCAAGTGTGATTGGACACACAAGGAATTTGTCTTGGTGTAATACTCTCAGTATACATAAAAGAAAAGATACATTCGTTAAGAATCAAGAATCATAA